TGCTGCCGCTTGCTCTGATTGAACTGGGCTTCTTCTGGTGCTCACTTCCGCCGCCGCTGCCTCCCAGTGAGACAAAATACGCCACTGGCTTCTTCAGTGCAGCAGCACCACCGCGGCTGCTGTTCCTGGCAGTTGATGGTGGCGTTCGAGACAGCTCGCCCGGCTGGTAGAAACCATAGGTCGCAAAGTCGCCGTCCCAGTTGTCCTCGTAGTAATTGTTGTAGTCGCCCATGGCCACTGTTTTCGGCCTGCAGTGGTTCGCCACCATCAGCTGTTCATCGGCGGTGTCAATGAGAAATGAAGTCTGCACTGATTTATTCACATTGCTCAGGCTGCTCTTGCAGCTTGAACTCTTCTGTCTAGTAAAGCAGTGGTTTTGGTGGCAGCAGTCCTTTTCTTCCGCCTCCTCCTCCTCCTCCTGCTCGGTAGGGTTGAGTCGACTTGCAGCGGTTGCGGGCCGTTCCAGCATGGCACCACCTTTGAAGCGCAGGCTTTTCTCAAGTTGTAGACAGTCTAAATTGCGTTGCAGACTGAGTCCGTTCATCTTGGCAAAGCGACTACAGCAAACACACCGTTGGTCCGTCGTTTTCCTTGTCACTGCTGCTGCTGCTGTCGCGGTGTTCTGAATCGTCTGTTTGTTTGATCTACCGCGGCCGCTGCTGGTGCACTGGTGTTGGCTGTTGTCTTCAGGTTGAATCGTCCTGAATGGCTCCATTCTCAGCTCAATGTGTTGGTGGTCGAAGCGCACTGTTCGAGGGTTAGAGTTGCTATGGCGATGCGGCGGCGGTGCTACTGTTGTTGACGGTGCCTGAGAACTGTTCTGCCTTGCTTCCCCTCCTCGCCAGTGCTCTTCACTTGCCAGTGGTCTGCTCGAAAAAGAGGAGGGGGAGGCGGTGGTGGAGGGGGCGGAGGCACTGGCTTTACAGGCGACACTGGCCTGCAGGCCTGGTCTGGAGTGGGCATGAGAAGTGGCAGCAGCTGCAGTGCTGGCATTCTTGTTCCCCTCGACATGACGACCGCTTGCTGTGCCTTTCAACTTTTGCTCACGNTCGGGCGACACTGGCCTGCAGGCCTGGTCTGGAGTGGGCATGTGAAGTGGCAGCAGCTGCAGTGCTGGCATTCTTGTTCCCCTCGATATGACGACCGCTTGCTGTGCCTTTCAACTTTTGCTCACGCAATGACTTTTGGTCTTTTCCCGATTTAGCATTGGGATTATGGCTAGTGCTGCTGCTTCTACTGCTGCCACCGTTGCCATTGCTGTGGCTGTGGCTGATGGTCTCCGTCGTCGCTGATTCAGTGCCCGTCGCCGAAGAGCCTCGGACAGCTCCTGCAGCAGCTTTCTTTGAAGCGGCAAGCGTCGCTGCCTTCTTTTTCGCTCGACGCCTTTCATGTTGCTTGACGTAATCGCTCTCGAACTGCATCAGCTCGAGATGCAGACGTCGCAGGTCGTCGGTGCCCTTTTGAATTTGACTGAGGCAGTTGTCTTTCTCTTCGAGAATAGTCCGTTTCGGCTGGTAAGAAGAGGAGGAGGAGGAGGAGGAAGAGGACACTGTAGTGCGATGCACTGCTGGAGGTGGAGGCTTGATGAATGGACGCGTGTTGGCGGTTGTAGCCACACTGTCCGGAGGCGTCGTTTGCTCTGTTGTCCTCTTATTCGGCGCCAGTCGAGGTTGTCGCTCCGATGCTGCCGCCGTTGCTGATGCTGTTGTTGCTGTTTTTCCTTTCCGTTTATTACTTGTATAAATATGCGAATTATACGTCTGGCTGAGCATAGGCCGTGCATTTGGTGGCTCTACCGGTGGCTCTAGGTACTCCGTTTCCGCATCAGAGGCTTCTATACAAATAGCATCCGGTTCAGTATTGACATTTGGACTTGCCTGACTAGATTTTCGCGTACTGTCCCCCTTTTCACTTGGCTGCTCGGGAATGGACAATGAATGGGCTGATTGCACCGAAGCTGCTTTTCTCAGTGAATCAATGGTGCTTTGATTTTGCGAGCGCGACTTGTTGGAAAGCAGTCTATTGATGGTTTCCAGAAGTCGATCAGCTTCCAGCATGATTGATCCTGAGTTTCTCGATATTGAATCAGTGCTTTTGCTCGCCTCAATAATAGTTGAGAGTCTAGGGGGTAGAGTGAGTGGCGGTCGTTGGTATGGCACCTCTTCACTGGTTTGTTTACTCTCTTCTCTGTCAGAATGGTAATCGCGAATTGAACTAGAAGAGAACGAGATCGGATTGTTGGATATGTCTGAACTGGAACTGCTATTATTTTCGTTATTATTATTTTGGTCAAAAGGAATGGTTTGCAGTGAAGAACGAATGTCGTGCGTCGCAAGAGCGGGAACTACAAAGTTGGTTGACGTATTGAAGTGCGTAGCGTTCATGATGGATTTGCTCAGTAGTTGAAGACTAGAGTCTTCATCTTGTGATGGAACGCTTTTTTGAATTGTCTTTGAATCATCACTATCTGTCTGCTTTGCATTTGGCGTTTCAAACGGATCAAAATTGGCAGGCTTTCCAAGCAGTGATGCAACACGATCCGCCAGACTGTCAATGCCCGATGAGGTAAGTGTTCCTGAGACTTCATCGGTGTTGTTATTGTTTATTAACGTCTCGATCCTTTCCGGTGAGGCTTCATGAAAGGTGTGCATTCGATGCGGATTGCTCGTTCGGTCAAAGTTAATTGGGGTGATGTTGATGTGATGAAGTTGGCTCTTGGTGTTTGTGGCGGCATCAGGGAAGGATGTGCTGTCGAGAATGGAGAACGCCTTCTTCCGAACTGAACGCAGTGGAGTCTCCATTGTTTTGCTCGGATGTGCTGTCAGATTCCGGCGGGGTTCGAGATCAGATAAGATCAAATGCGGGTCAGGTGATATAATTTCAAACACACTGGCCAATTGTTGACAGTGTTTGAAAAAAACGGTCTTTCAAAAATTAATTCACGAGTCATTCACAGAAGACGTCCTCTGTTTTGGCTTCTGCGAGTTTGCTTTTTTGCAGTTGTTTTGCAGTTGCAGTTGGGTTTTCTCTCTCTCTCTTTCTTTATCTCTTTCTCTCTGACTGCTTTCTGGTTTGGAGCTGGTACTGTTTAGTGTCGCGTTACTTTGGATCATTTTCTCTCTTTCTCTTGCCAACCCAACTCAGCGAATCGTCTCACGTCGCTGCTTTTATCAACCCGCTCTCTCTCTCACTTTCCAGTTACCTCAACGTGACAGAGAATATTTGTTGCCTCGCTCTTGACGCCGGTACGTCTACTGTCGCCGCTCTCCGCTCGTCTATTCAACACAGCGTCCGTACTACTAACCCGATCTCGCGGGCATCTGGCACTGTGTCTGTTTCGGTGTCTGTTTCGGTGTCTGCTTCGGTGTCTGCTGCTGCTGGTGCCACCATACGTGACAACCAGTGTGTCAGATTGAACAATGGAGAATCTCAGCAAGAGACCTTCAAAGGGAATTCTCAAAACGTCCTCCAGCATCGAGCGACAGGACTCGAAATTGACTCGTCAAAAGTAAGTGTTCTCACGGGCTATTTGTAGACGTTAGGTGAAGTCTAATCTGGCCATTGTATTGTCACGCTTCAGCTCCCAGGACAAGGACATCAAGTGGGATGAGATGAACATTTTGCAGACTTTACACCCGCCAGATAAAGACTATGGGCACATGAAAATTGAAGAGCCTAAGACGCCATACTCGTACTTTACCGACGATGGTGAAGGAACTTCGGACAATGAAAAGATAAAAGAACTTGACCCTGAGAATCTCGCTGAACTTATAACAAAGAAAACAAAGGAAGCATTCTCTTTTGAAGATGCTGCTGAAAAGATTTCAGAGGCTGAGGATGATGATATGGACGATGAGGACCTTACTGGACTGACAGAAGAAGAAAGGGAGCGCAGAAAGGATTTTGACTCAAAGCGCAAGAAGCACTACAACGAGTACCAAATGGTAAAGCTGGCCAGAAAGCTAATGGAGGAAGAGATGAACGAGGTGGAACATGAGCACGAAGAGTCAACCGATCAACCTGAAGCCTCGACCAGCTCTGCAGCTCGTCCTGACGCGTAAAAGATGCGCTCTACCGCTTTCACACTTTCAGGTACTGTCAACGAGAGCTTTCACTGAAAATCATTGAAAAATTCAAAGTAAAATTATTCAAGTTAAATTCACTTACGCCGACTATGCCGCATATAGTCTCCGATGCCATCATAAAACATTCATCAGACACCAATTCCAGCGAACTAAATTCTCTATCTCATTATTCGGTGCTCACACCACACATAAAAAACAGACTCAAGGTTTACAACCTGTGTTTGTTTTCGCCTCTGTTCAGCCAAACAACCGTCAAACATGCACAGCAGCAGCAGAAGCACAGGTGCCGTAAAACTGTTCCCTAAATGAGCTCAAAGCCATCATCATCATCAACGATTCGGTGTCCCTTGCACCAGGCTCTCTTTCTTTTTTTCTTTCTACCCCGTTAACGTTAACAACAGCATTAATAATTCGCACACTAGCGCCTAGCCCAATCAATCAATTGCCCAACTATATGGCGCACCAACGTCGCGACATTTCTATCTGTCTCTGTCTCTCCCTTTTGCTCTAGAGTTCTCCTAGCACTCTTTCATCTTCGCCGAACTACTGACGGCCAATCAGCAATACTTTTCATACTCTATCTCCTTCACACCTCGTCACACTTGTCACCATCGCCTTCGAACAAAGTGCGCCACCGCCGATGCCGCTCTTGGTGTGCTTCAAGAGCCTTTCAAATACCTTCTTCTCCCATTGAAACCACCGCAATTTCCTTATTCTCCCCTTTTTTCTCTTTCTGTTAACTCGTTTCTCTGCCTTGTTTGATTTACCTTTTTTTCTCCAAGCCAGGTACGCTGTAGTCTTACGTTTGTTATCAGAATCGCGCAGGTGTTGTACACTGGCCAAACACTCCAACAAAAGTGTTGAAACACCGTACGCAGACACACACACATGTGATGATTGCGCGTCACAGGCAGTGAACGGTAATCATTCGTTTCTGTTGTGTGCTTTGTTCTACACACCTCTCCCCTCTTGCATTCTCTGTAATGTTTTTACTGTAAAGCCTTTCCGTCAATAATTTAATAAACAGCCACCTTATGGTGTGGGGTCTGTTTGAGTACGATAATGTGAGAGTGGGTAAATGTGAGTAAATGTGTGCAGAGCAGAGTCACTGGGCGCAGTCATTGGCCGTATGTCGGTCAATTGCCTGTGAGCACGTCACCGTCCGCCTGATGATAGGACACAGTCAATTGCTGATTACCCTGCTGTCTCTCCCTCTTCCTCCCCAATAAACCCTCTCAATAGCTGATTAGGTTCTCGAAGGCAATGGAGAGGTAATTGCCAAAGACGGCACAGGTCTCCTCGTTGTCGTCGGCGACCAGCTTGAAGCTGGCGGAGGAGCTGGCCGCAGAGGAGCTGCCAAAGACGTGAGTGCAGCTGTCGTACCTGGGAAGTACAAAAGGCACTGGTTACAAAGGGGATTTCACACATTGAGGGGCTCTTGCAAGTACTCACAGAGTTCTCGTTAGGTGCTCAGTGCCCTGGTAGAAGAGCACCAGCAGTCGGTTTGGCGGACTGCCGGTTCTGCTGTTGGCCAATCCATCGGTAGTTCCCTGAAGGCTATCGTTGGTACTGCTGTTGTTGTTGTTGTTTCTTTTGTTCTTGTTCTCCTCTGCTTGAAGGCGGCCAGACATGGCGTCCTCGGCGGCGATCAGTGACAGCTTCAGGTTCACCTGTTCAGGCTGAAAGGACTTGGTCATCAGCAGGGTTGCTTCCTGTGGGACGATTGAATGATGAGATTATTCGGAACAAAACCTTATCAACGCTTGCCTTGTGCTTGATGGCAATTTCCTGAAGTAGGCGCTGCGTGTCGAGATCAATGGTGCCATCCTGGTCGTGGGCGTACACAAAGACCAGACAGAGTCGAGCACTGGAGGCACTGTCGTCTCTACTGCCACCCTCTTCAAGCGAAGAGAGTGTATGCTGGTTGGCCGAAGCAGAGGCAGAGGCACTGTCGAAGCTGCTGCTGTTTGCATAAAAGTCCACCCCGGTGGCGCGGCTGTGGGCGAATTCGAGCGAGACGACGCCCAACGTCTGCGGCACCAGACTGCCGTTGACGTTGAAGCTCAGATTGAGCATTGGATTGCCCATGAGCACGGCGCGGAAGAAGTCAGTCGCCTTGACGTCAGCGGGAAAGGTGCTCCAGTGACGCTCCTGGTCGTCGATGGAGAAGTCGTACACCTGAGACCATTTGTTGTTGAACACGTTCAGGCCTGCCTTGCTGAACTGATCTGAAGGAGGGGAGATTGGAATTATTTGATCGCTTCAACAAACTTTGCTCAGCATTGCTACCTTTGAGACCGTTGTAGTTGGCAGAGAAACAGCCAAAACGAAGCTGCGAACAGGACTCAATTGCCGGCTGTGTGCCGCAGAAGAGAAAGAGATCAAGGCGTTTGCAGTCTCGGGTGCGAAATTGCTGCGAAGCGGACATGAGGCGGCAGTTTTCGCAGTTGCGAATGGCAATGCTAACGTGCGAAGAAAGGAAAGAAGAAAAAGGATCAAAGTTGGTCATACCTTCCATGGTTACTCCACACCACCACTACTGTACCTGCCCATGACCGGTCCGACGAAGAAGGTGCAGTCGGTGCAGTCGTCAATCATCACAGTGTTGCTGTAGTCGTAGAGGGCTATGGTCGAGCGACAGCAGTTCTGAATGATGAACTGCTCGCCGTCCACTTCACCGGCCAGGCGAATCTCCACACTGTCGTTCAGGTTCTCGATGATGTACCGACTGAGGTCCTTTCTCTCTCGATTCGACCTGAACGGAACTGGTTAACCTTTGACAGTTCTAACCTTCTGACTTTCACCCGTCACACTTACCAACTGTACTCCTTGGCACTGACATTGGAGACGGTCAGTCCGGCGGTGCTGCCTCTAGGTGCTGGATTGCCCCTTCCACCACCACCACCTCCCGATATCGTCTGCTTCTCACGTGCCTTTGTCTTCTTGGACACCAGACAGTTGCCCATGTTACTTTCTTGCTTAAGTCGCCGCCGTCGCTGTGCTTCAGTGCTTTCGTCTTCTTCAAGTGGTCGTATGCAGACGCTGAATGGCGTGTAGGGCATGAAGAGTAGAACTGACTGATTAGGAGTGATTACTATTCTACAGATGCTGCCGATGGTGATGATTGTGATGATGATCTGTAGTCATGGTGAGCTCACCGAGGAAAGAGAAACTGTTGAAGCTGTCGGAATTAGTGAACAAATACACAGGATGATTTGGCCACTGGTGACACCCTACCTTTGTTGGTACTATTTGTCTGGTTTGCAAGTGAAGGGAATCAATCGATAGCCAGGCTGGAACCACACTGGTGTTGAACAACAACAGCAACTGAGGACAAACTCTAGTGACTGGCTAAGGCTGGTCGCCATGGTGCGACTACGCTGACGACGGTGGCCGCGACACGATGACACTTTTTCGGTCGCTTTTCCTTCTTCCCTTTTTCTCTCCCTTTTCCAGAGTCTACCTCTTCGTACCTTGCCTGCACTGTGCACCGGTCTCATTAGTCGGAGAGGGGGCACTTCCACTCTCGCTCAGTTGACAGTGGACTGTGTGTGACTGTGCCGCCAGGCTGGCAAAGACAATAACCGTCCTACAGATGAGTTGCTGCTAAATTGATTGCTGCATTCTCTTTCATTCTCTCTCTTGCTCTATTGCCCGTTTGGAGGCGTCTGCCCTTTGTGCCTCTCTGTCCTCTCGCGCTCTCTATCCCACCACAATTTAATGAGTCCCCTCGGATGGATAGAGGTAGAGTCTCCTCTCTCTATCCAAATCACACACACTCCTTCTTCATTCATTCGAATGTTCATTGACGCCAACGGAGTCCTCAAGTTGACATAGAGGCCTCAGCGCACTGACTAATTGACGGCAACGGCAACGGCGGCGGCCTTTCCCTACACTCTACAGCTCGGGAAAGCAGCTGTGTCAATTGACACTACAGTGCTGCAACAACAAGGATCAGCAGCAGCAGCAGTAGCGGTGAACGGCAATTGTACAATTACTTCAAGTGCAGCACACTACCATTGCCACTGTCTGTCTGTCTGCGTGAATTACTGCTGTCATTAGGCAATCGATGCGAATCGAATTAGCGACGGCGCTGCCGAGTTGCTGCATTATTGTTGGCTGCTCTTGTTTGTCTGCTCCAGACGGAGGCAGGCAGCAGCGGACCAGCAGTTAATCGATGCGGCCATCGCTGGCTGCTGATGCCCCGAAGTTTGTCCCCAGTACAGAGTTTCTGTTTGACTGTGTGACTGGCAGCACCTGGATGTGGGTCGAAGAGTGGCGGCGGCGGTGATGATGGTCACCACGGGGGAATGATCACGTTTGCCGGCCACTCGGCATCAGCAGCACCACGCAATAGTACACTTTAGATGCGCACCATTGTCGTCTGCGAGCGTGTAAGGCAATGCGCTGCTGTGCCGAAGCATCATCATCAGTCTCCCCTTTCACTCTCTTGCTCCCTCTCTCCCTCATCCTTATGCTGCGGCAGCATCTCGAGCGACCTTGAAGCCTTGAGCGAGCTTCCTTCGCCGTAGCAGAAATGGTGGCAGCACCTGCAAGAGCAGCAGCGGAGCAGTGCACTGTTGCCAAACGCTCTCCTCTCCTCTTTCTCCCTCCATCGAGAAAGTTTTTGTTGTTCTTCAGTGCTCTTGTCAGTAGCAGCAACTCTGTTGTTGACTGATATCGCCCTGTGGCGATCGATGCTGATCATCATCAACGACTCCCTCTGATCAGATTGGCTGGTAAGTCGCGGGGAAACTCTGGCGTCATCGATGTTTTTTCGAGTGTGCCAAATTGTCATGCTAGCTATCTTTTACATTCCCACTCGCTCTAGTGCAAGCAGGATAAAGCAGCAGTTGCCTCACAACACAGCATCCAGCATCCATTTTGGCGATATCCAGACAGACTACACTATCACCTCAAGGCTCAATCACCAGGAGAGCCAGTGACTGCTCCTATCGACGATTGTGTTATTGTCATCGGCAACAGTGCCCACAGTGTTTGGCGACAGGTTCCTCGTAGACATCAAGAGAAAAGAGTGACTCTCAACTGTGAGCACGCAAAACCAGCTCCACAGTCCGCGAGTCACAGCTTTGAACTGCAGCGAGAGAAGAAAGCAGTCAACAACAGTTCACTTTCTCTCTCTCACGTATGCGACACTTTTGCTTTTTAATTGGTCCCCTCACTCAGTCAGGTGTGTTGTGACATTGCACTACCTTGTCTGTCTGCGTAATCTCGCCCAGACAAGCCTCGTGTAGACGAAATTGAGAACGCTCGGTTTTGAGCAACCAAATGAGCAGACATCACCAGCAGAGGCATGCATCGAAATGGATTCGCCCTTCCAAGGGCAGTCAACAACAACGGCAACCACAACAATGGTCATAACATCAACTTCAACTATAACTTGAATAATAACAACAACCATCGACTACAACCCCAAAATGGATACCACTTTCTCAACCCCCCTCAACAACTTTACCAACACCAAAATCATCAGCAACATGGGCAGCATCAGCAGCCACAGCAGCAGCATCAGCCCCATCAGCACCAACATCATCACAACCACCGACGACGGACCGTCTCATCGGGAGAGGCTGAAAACGGCCATACCCAAAGATGTATTGGAAATGGCAACAAACTAATCAACAAAGACATAAAGGGTGACCTTCTCAAAAAGAAGGTAAGTGTCTTTTTAGCTAAACTTGATTTATAGTTTTATAATCTCACACTTCTCCATTTCAGACCGTTGAAAAGGCCAACTTGACTCTCAACCAATACCGAAAGTCTGGAAAGTTTTGTGATTTTGAATTACACGTTGGCGAGAAAGTATTCAAGGTGCACAAAGTGGTGCTCGCCGCGTCAAGTGGCTACTTTGATGTGATGTTCAACAACAAGGAAAACTTTATTGAAAATGAGGAAAATAAGATCAATTTAAGCGAAGACGTCGATCCTCAAACCTGCGAGACTCTTTTAACCTACATCTACACTGGTGAAATCACTGTCAATGCAAATAATGTTCAGGACATTGCCCGCATCTCAAACATGTTTGAACTCATGGAGCTAGTCGAACACTGCTCCACCTTTTTGGAAAAAAGCATTTCCAAGAACAACTGCATTGGCATTCTCCGGTTTGCCGACTTTTACGGTTTTCCACAGCTGTACTACACAACAAAGAGATACGTGGANCTGGAAAAAAGCATTTCCAAGAACAACTGCATTGGCATTCTCCGGTTTGCCGACTTTTACGGTTTTCCACAGCTGTACTACACAACAAAGAGATACGTGGAGTATCACTTTGCCGAAGTCTCCAGTGAAGAGGAGTTTCTCGAGCTGACGCCAAAGCTTCTTAAACAGTTCCTTCGCAGTGAAAGTCTGAGCATCGACCACGAGACTCAAGTGCTGATCGGCACACTGGACTGGATCATGAAGGACCAGAACGACCGTTTGCAGTACCTTGAGGAATTCATCAATCTCATTCGCATGCCCTTGATCTCGCCTGTTCAGCTGAAGAAGTGCATCGCCAAGTACACCCTGCCAGCCATTGCTGACGCGCTTGCTCCGTATCTCAAGTCTCAGTCTTCCGGCGCCAAACTACCACCACCAGCGCCGAGTAGTCATGAGCCTATGGAGGAGAAGGACCTCAGCTACAGTCTAATTCGCCATCAGGCGCGAATGTGCTCCCGACGGCGGGTCTACATTATCGGCGGTCTGAAGCACGTCAGCAATGACCGGCAGATGTCTAACACTCTGAACACCATGGTGAAGCTGGACCTGCACACCGGCACCTGGGACGCCAGTGCGTCCTTTGGCTATCAGCGCAGCTCGCACTGCGTCGTCAACTTCCAGGGAAAGATCTTTCTCATTGGCGGCGAGTGCGACTCGCTGATTCTCGACACGGTGCAGGTCTTTGATCCAGACACGGCCACTGGCGAGGCCACTTGGAAGGAAGTGGCCAGACTGACCACTCCTCGGTCCGCCTTTGGCGCCTGCGTCTACAAGAACAACATCCTCGTCTTTGGGGGGAAGGGCCACTGCTCCGGACATACCATTGAGCGGTACGATCCCGACACCGAGGAGTGGGAGATCTGCGGAACGATGCCGCAGTCCCTGCAGGGCATGCAGGTGGTCGAGTACGACGGACTGATCTACATCATTGGCGGGCGGTCGCCGGCACAGGGCTACAACTCGCTGAACACACTCCTCTGCTACAGCCCAGAGACGGGCGAGTTCAAGGAGCTGGCGCCCATGAACAGTGCCCGCTCTGACTTTGGCTGTGCCGTCCTCCACGGTCACATCTACGTCATCGGCGGACTGGACAGCAACAATGATCCACTGACCACCGT